GTAATCTTGCCCTAATTCGGCCATGCCACCAGGGGTTTCGACTAAATATCTTTACTTACCCATTTGTTGTATAATTTATGAATAAATTATTTCGGTACAAAAATTAGGCTCAGTAGCTCGGTTGAGCACACGCAGGAATGCCTGGGCAACCTAAGTCTGCAAGGTAGAAAACAAAGGGGTTAAGCACAGATCGTTGGACCGCGCTACAAATTATAAGCAAGATATGCAAATCCTACTTCGGCTTAGTGGGCTGGTTCTACCTCGGTTTATCAAAGGATTGTTAGTTCGGTCGTGAGCAGATTAGACCGGTTTATCGTCTAGGGGCAGCTTTCTGAGTTCGGTCTAAAAAACTAAGAAAGCTGGTCTAGCCCCAAGGCCTAAATCAGTTGTGGAATGAATAAAGTTACTTCGGTTAAGCTTCTAGGGGCGGCTTTCTGAGTTCGGTTTAGGAACCAAGAAGACCGGCTTGGCCCAAAAGCTTAGTTCGGTTGACAACCGAAGTTCCTAGTTTTCTATATTCAAAATGTGGTGATCTTATTTCGGCTAAAGTAAGTCAGGCTCTGGTAACCCATTGAAGCTTTTAAGTTCTAGTTCGGTTCTTGACTACAGAGATCTACCTGTGGGGGAAAACAGGATCCTAGTTCGGTTACTATGTGATTTTGGATCTAGGGCTGGTTTTCTACATAATAGTTCATACATACATGGAGTTCTACTAGTTTCTTCATAAAAATCCAGAAGCAAAGCGGCAAATGAAAGAAAATGTTTGCAAAAAACATACAAAACAAAGCTATGCAGATACGAAAGCGAAACAGAACAAGAAGGAAAGAGAATTTGCTTACCAGGTTAAAGAAGAAGGGACTGAAGTTGAAAATCTGTTGCAGTAAAAAGAAGAACTCGAGCAGCAAGAAAGCAGAGAGAGAGGATGAAGGAATAGTAAAAGTGAAGATACCCTAGCCTCAGGGATTACTTTTGTTAGAGAGCCCAAAATTTGGGCGGGAACTGTTTCAAGATCACAAAAGCACGAAGACGGCGTGACAGCCGTCCTTAACCAATCAAAAAATGCCACGTGTCATAAGAATGGGAAGCGTTACAGACACTATGATTGAAAAGACGTTTTTGACCGGACAAAACAGGGGCCCGGAGTAAAATTAGCTCGGCTGAAAAATTCGAGGGTTTTTAGCTCGGCTGGAACAACTTAAAACGACGTCAGCTCGGCTGATGGACTGGTAATCCCAATCATGCTATGCAGATGGAATTAAGGGGCAATTGAGAGGGTAATTTTTGGGAAAAATTGGGCCGAGCTGCGAGTTGGGCTTTAAAGCCCAAAAACGCGAAGGACTAAGTAAAAAGGCCGTAATGGTTACTCCGGCCCAGGAGAGCAAGGTTACTCCGGCCTAGGAGAGACAGAGTTACTCCGGCCCAAGGAGGTGGAATTACTTCGGCTTACGAAGTAATGGAGTTACTTCGGTTAGAGGATTGTAAAGTACTTCGGTTTGGGAGGCAACTTGAAGTTAGACCGGTCTTGAAGTTAGACCGGCCTTAGAGGTATACCAGTTTGAGAGTTATGCCGGTCGAGTCGTTGGTTCGGTCCGAACATACCACGGTTCATGTATGAGAGAACCGAGATATGATAGCATGAAGAGGAACCGAACAACTGTTAGTACGGCCTACTTTGTGGCTCGGCATAGCCATTTTTACTTTGGTCAAATGGAAGTTCGGCCATAAAGAGAACCATCCCACTTGGTTTAAGCAGTGGGGAAGGGTGTGAAAGGATAAGCATTATCCTTAAGAGTATGAATCCTAGGAGGACTCTGC